TGTTTACCTTTTATTACCATAATAATAAATAATTCAGATACAAAAGCTGAAGTTGAAAAAATATATTTTATTTATGTTTATTTTTTCTTTTCATTATAAACAACGGTTTTTAATCAGTTAAAAAGCTTATTCAAAATGACCTTTAAAAAGCTCATTCAAATAACAGTCAACAAATCGCAACAATGGAAGAAACGCGCGGGACAAAACACGCTCGACTACGTGTCCCAAAACATTGTTCGGAAATATTAGAACCGGTTGCGAGCGGTCATTAAATTCAGATTTATACGCGGCCAGCCGGATATCTCTCCCGTGCGACTCTGCTAATGACCACCTAAATTGAGATAATTTCGCAGTGGAGTTGGTAATAACCAGCCAGAGTCGGTGCCCTGGGGCCAACGGACAAGAAGGCCGGTGCAATGTGGCTAACTAAAGCGTAACTAGACTTTGTGACGCTAGGTATGCTGTATCTTCAAACATGATTGCGTCCACTTTGTCTTTAGAACTTTACCATGAAATATATTTTTTTTTTTATTAAATGGATATAAGGAACGTTTGTCGTACCTAGCCAGGAGCGACGACATCAAAATGCGTTACAAATAAATAAACCTAAGAGAAGAAAACACAGATTCGAAAATTTTCTTTTTTAATTTTTTAAGTACGACTCTGTGGTGATAAACAATATTGAAAAATGCCAAACGGATTAGAAATTAAAATGTTAATAAAAATCATGGACGTTTTGTACAAATTCGCTAATTAAGCCCTTAACTTTCTTTTTAGCAGCATTTTTAGATTATTGTGGATAGTTTAAAACTTAATACTTAAACTTTACCAATGAATTGGAAGAGCTTTGTCATATACCGCTTATATGTCGCACTAATGGGCGTCGGTCTCCTCTACTGAAGGGGTTTAATCTATTGTCTATCACACAGAATCAATACAGGTTGTAGACTTATCACGTTCTCCAACGTCAAACTTTTTGAACCTTCTTCGACGTGCAGATATCTTCACGACGTTCTCCTTTACTGTCGATGCTTCTGAGCATTCACAAATGAAAATAAATTAAACTGCATGCTTAAATCTGTTATCTTTGATATTTAAAGAAAAAATATAGTAACCATATATATTTTGTATTAAATACTATACTATTTGTGATAGCAAATAAATACAATTAAAATATAATAATATATGTGGAAAAAAGCTACACTGCGCGTGTGACGCGGTCGTGAATTTCCGCCATCTTATAACTCGAAGCGCGGGAAGCGAATGGTGGAGACGGATCAGCGCCGACAAAAACCAAGCGCTGTAAAATTTTGCAAATAAAAATTAATACATATAATATAAACAGCATTATAATATCTTTGTATTACAAAAAATAAATATTATATGTGCTAAAGCACAGGTCCAGTTCACTAAACTCTTCAGTATTTTCAGTATTGTATGTTTATTGGTTTAATGCTAACAATTTATTGCTTAATGCCAAGAAGACGAAATGTGTTAAATTTGAATTACCTAACGTAAAATCGATTAGTCCAAGCATAGAAATAAACGGGGAAAAGTTAGACTTTGTTAATAAAGCAGTCTTTTGGGAGTGACCTTAGATAGTAAACTTCAATGGTTTCCACATATATCGTCCCTGGCCAGCAGATTAAACTCCGCTGCATACGCAGTCCGCAGAATACGTGAGCTTACCGATGTTAGTACTGCTAGACTAGTTTACTTTAGTTACTTCCATAGTATAATGTCCTACGGGATTCTCATGTGGGGTAAAGCGGCAAATATTCAAACCATATTTGTATTGCAAAAACGAGCGATTCGTTCTGTGTACCGTCTAGGCTCTCGGGTTTCTCTCAGAGAAAAGTTTAGGAAACTGGTATCATGACTGTGGCATCACAGTACATTTACTCAAATATTTTATATGCCCGTAAAAATGTACATAATTTCAATAAGAAAGAAGATTATCCATAATATTAACCTTAGAGCTAAGTCGAAACTCATGGTACCACGATTTCGTTTAACCAAGGTAAACAACTCTTTTATGGGGAATTGTATACGTTTTTACAATAAGATTCCGGAGCATATATTAAGTTTATCATTTCCTAAGTTTAAAAACTACATTAAAAATATTTTGATCGAGAAATCATATAACAAAATTAAAGACTACGTGTTAGATAAAGATGTATGGAAAGACGACACGGCTCCAGAATCCACACAAATTTGATTCAAAGTGTATTCCATAGCATTTAAGTTTATTTGAAAAGAGCAATCCCTAGAGTTTTTTGCTCGTTCTTCTCATAGAGGTCAGCGTAGTGAACGAGCAGTAGCTTAAATGTGACGTTTTCAAGTGTAAATTTGTTTTACCTATGGAATAAATAATCTTTGACTTGACTTGACTTGACTTATCAAATCCCTATTTTTAACAAGCTTTAAAAAAGGAGGAATTTCTCAATTCGGCTAAATTTTTTTTGTGTATGCTATGCGGTTACTCCATTTGTGAACCAATTCTGATGATTCTTTTTTGTTTTAAAGGGAGTACATTAATATTGATCTCATTTGGGTTTTTTTATTAAAAAAGTTATAATTTTAAAATATTAATTAGATACATTAATCACATTACAAATGTACTCAAAAAATCCTACAGCAATGATTTACGATTAAACATTTTAAGTAACAGTGAAATGTTAGACAAACAACCTTACGTACGCGGTACCTTTTCTTGTACAAAAAACAAGGATAGAAACAATAAAAATCAATTTAACAATAGCCACCTCATATCAAAAACAATAATATATTATAGGAGAAAAGGAATTTCATTCTCAATACCAGTGGTTTTATGTTATTTTAGTTCACCACAAAAACGTACGAATGAAATGATAGATGCTTGGGGTCGTTACACTGAGTACGGTATCCAGTAAAAGCATAGTTTTTGTTTATATGTGAGTAGCTTTTTATAGTTTTGTGACCGACGCGAGGTAAATATTTTGACGAGTATTATGCAGTGCCCGACCCATTATGTCATAAATACTTAGCGTGACACAAAGACAAAGAATCTGCCACAAAATGTCCATTCACCGTCACGAATGACGTCATTCGAGTAATTTTTACAAGATCATGCTACAATAGCTCCATTATCAATAGATAAGAAGAAGCTTCTTTACTCCCGCAGGTTTCGTCTAACTGGTATAATAACGAACCGACTAATTTCAAACTAAAGCAATGTCCGAAGAAATGTTTGAAATGTAGTACAAATCAAATGCATATCATCATACTCTTAATTATAAAGTGACGTAATAGAAAAAGTAACATTTTTGGAAAATATCTTTTTTTTATAATATCAAGTGACGAGACGGACATGTCGTGCGCCTGATGGTAAACTACACGCCTGTCCGTAACAGTTACAGTGCCACTCAAAGCTTTAAGTCGCAAATATTTGAGGGGCACTGCCACTGCGCCTGTCATCCTGAGACATGAGTTGACAAGTCCCATGTAATTTCACCAGCACCCTTACCCTTCAAAAACGGAACACAGTAATGCTTACATTACTGCTTGGTGGCAGAAATAGGTAAGGTGACAGTACTTCCTGACTGGACGAGCTCTTTCACAAGGAAGAGTGTGAAAAATTACTTTATTTATAATTAAAACCTTATCCTGATGTCGCATCTCCTTGATCCTAATAATGACAACAAACATATTAAATGACTCAACTATAAAATACTGTTGATGTTATAGCCCTCGTTGATATTCTATTCAAGATCGTAATTACTAAGATCATCATAGTATGTTGAGCGGCACGATGTCCATAGCAGTTGCAGTGCCACAAATCACAAAAATCCGAGGGACACTGCCACTGCGCCTATCACCCTGAGATATGAGTTGACAAGTCCAAACCGGAACACAGTTATTCTTACATTACTGCTTAGTAACAGAAATAGGTAAGGAGTTCCACTATTTCTAAAGCACGCGACTTACGTGGGATCAGCCATACAATCGTATACAATATCGCTGGTGCCAAATATGATCAAATTGTATTTGATATGGAAATCGAAATATTGTTGAAACGGTGTAAACACACTCATTGCTAATGACCGTGTACTTTTTGTTAACATTAACGTGTTAACGTCATTTGTCGTTTCATTCGATCTGTACTTTTTGGTTCTTAAATATTTCTAACTTTTATAACATATCGAGTTCTTAGGTTTTCGCGATTGTTACACATAGGAAATTAAACTATTTTTCCGGATTGCATTAATATTAGACATAACTGGTTGAAGACTGTACCACCTCAGTCAACCGTGACCATGGGACCTGTAAAGGGCCCGAAACGTCGGTTTGTTTGAAAAAACAAATATACGCGATTTAAATCCGGAAAAATAGTTTCATTTCGTTTTATAACATATTCAAGGTAATATTTCTAAGTTTGTATTTTTTGTCACATACATATTATGTCATTTTCCCAAAAAATATAAATTTTATTATTTAGTCACTTTATGGTAAAGGGTGCAATATATTCTCGTGTACGTAAGTGGGAGTAAATAGTCTGCAAGGTCAAAAGTTCACGATCCCAAGTCGAATGAAATTTGCACCGAGCTAGACGATGGTTATCGCATTGTATCCACCCTAATCCTCGTAACCTGCTCTAACTTTGTTTAATGAAAACTTTTATTAGACTTTGCAGTAGTTTATTATATTAAATTTAGTTTATTAAGTTGATTTTAGTTTATTAACTTACCTAAATGAAACATTTTTGCATTTTATATAACGTACTCGTAATTAACGTACTATTTGAATTATACTTGTTTTGTTCCCACTGATAAGGTATGCTAAGTAACGTTGCTTTCGATAATTAATTTTTTTTAATTAAACTGTCATCTTATAAATCATTTAATATGTTATATTAAGGAACACAAGTCATGAAACTGATAATGTATGACTTATTTTAACCACCGACTTCCCTCACCCACAAAATCGGTGAAAGCGTGTGTAGCATGTTTGTTGTGTTACAGGGGGTGCGGGCAGGCGGCGCGCGTAGACGGACTCAGGTAGCGTGTGTTGTGCGTGCTCTAGCTGTACCGTTACTGTTGTCACTGTCGTCGATAGAGCGAGTGATGACTTTGTCGAATCTACGATTTATACAAAAAATGTAGTTTAATTTTTTTTCAATAAATAATACGAATAAAAAAATTTTTGTTACACTAATCGATTTGGTTGCTATCAGTGACACTTTTTTCACCATCAGTGAAAAAACATTGTAAGTGCACTTATGCACTTTTGTACCAAGATTGTCAGAAATAAATAAGGCCGGATTTTAAAATACTAGCCTTTGAGTAAAAAGTATATTTACTGACAAAAATAAGGACTAAGTTTTAAAGATATTCTTATTGCAAAATATAAAAATTCGAGTTACAAGTAGATTCGACTTGGAAAAGAAACCACTCACTCTGCACTTAGTAATCGTCGTGTTGTAAGAAACATTTTATTTTCCTATTCATTTCGAAACATGATTAGTGTGAATTTATTTATTTTTTTAAAAAAGAACGTTGATTTCTGTACAGAGCCCATGTTGTAAATTTGGCGCTAAAGTGTAAGTAATTGGGTATCGCGATGTTAGCAGATAGATCAGCTCAAACTTTGCAACAGACTTTTTTTATCCTCCGAGGGTTCTGTAGACAAATATCTATTTTTATACTACTCCCCCATAATATCTACATATTTATTAAGGTTTTATGTCCCAAAATGGTATCCTTTATATTATAATGTCTAATAAATGCCATAATCGTAATGCGGTGGCCAAACGCGTGTTGGGGCTATATAATTTTTTTTTGGCTACTGTATTAATTTTCCCTGGCTCCCATTCTGATTATTTGTCTACTTCGAAAATATATTCACTGGCGTATTTATAATTTAAAAACCTACGGAACCTTCTGCCATTAAAAAATCACCATTTTAGTGTACTGTGCTAATTTTTATGTGTTGATCTTGATTTGGATTTTGTTCGATGTATCATTAACTAAAACTGTGTGTAATTTGTGTTTTATAGAGAGCTATGGTTGTTTTTTGTATCATCACCAGTTGATGATGATGACCAGTGGCGACGACAGGTGATGATCACAACTGGTTGTGGGCGGCGGCCTTTAGCGGCGGCTGTCATAAAAAAAAACATAAAACATCCGTTCAGAAATTGTCGGTACAAAATGCTGTTCCGTAAAACAACATCGGTCTAATTGTTGAGCTGTAAAAACAATCGGAAAGCCGATGTGTTTTGCAGAGTTGGACAATAAAATCGAAATGTGTTTGTTTAAAAAAAGTTTTGTAAACCAAGGCTGTGGTTTCAATATGGCCGAAGCGAAATTCTATTGACTGCTTTATTTGTTAATCGTGTCATCGCGTTTTCATTCTTTTACCATACGTTATAAATAAAGTATTTGAAATTTAAATACTTTTTAACACAAAATCTGGACGGACTGAAACTAATGTTTCTAAAAATAAAATACTGTGTTCTATAATACTATAACACTGACAACAGTAAGTTAGTTAGAGCGTGCGCACACGGCGCTAAGGCAGAGTAGCGTAACTTCACATTTTGAAACATTGCGTATACAAGAAACTATATAAAAATTATTAAAAACCAAAAATTAACAAAATTTAAGTTACAACATTTCTAAATGTGAGGTCATGTAACTTTGAATATTGCATAAAGTATTTTAATATCCATCGTTACAGTATTATACTTCAATGAAAGAATTTGAACAAAAAAATCTTAATTGACAAAACATTAAGTAATTTCTCTTCTTTTCCTTCTACATTGAAGCACATAAAGCTGTATACACACTGGACTTGTGGTGCCTGCGGCTGCCAGCGTGTGCGCGCCCTTACCCTGTCACCGCAATCAAAGGCCCGTCACTTGCACCTTTTACTTTACGGGTAGTGTTGCCATATTCAGAAAATCCTGAATGTTTTGATTTATAAAGTTTCCTAATGTTACATATTATCTAACATTTGTTACGAATGAGCTACAGAAATCAGTAAACTTCAGATATTTTAGCTGCACTAACAGCGTGGTAAAAAAGCGTACGTGGTAATTTGAAATTTACCATGAGCTTTGGGCCAGAGTGGCGGGTTATGGTCTAAACCCTCACCTGAGAGGAGACCCGTGTCCTGTAGCGGGATGTATAAATGGGTTGATGATGAATAGCGTAATACAGTTGGACACTAACTTTATTCAGTATATTTTATGTCATTTAGAATTTGTATTCGAAGCATCCAATCCGAGATGAATTAGTATAATTTTTACCAAAAATCCAACTCTAATATTTAAAGTCGATATTCGTGACGAATAAGTATAATTGTTCTCAGTAATCTAAACACCAAAACTTACACTTCCCTCGCAACTTCATCAAACATTGTAACAATTAAGTATAATGTTTTGCAAAAGCTTAATATTAAAGTCGCGCGCATAGCATCATCTGGCCTTGACGAATAAGTATAATTTTTCTCTAAAAATCCTAAGTGAAATATTTCTTCAGTCGTCATGAGAAATGAGTGTAGTTTTTTACTAAAATCCGAAGTCAATGTAATAAAATATTGCTTCGTCAAAAAAATCAGGATTTTCCGACAAAACATCTGGCAACACTACTTTTGGGTCTAAACTACATTTTTATACAAGGTTATTGGCACCGAAGTCTAGTTTAAGACCGCCGCTCCACGCCCCACCGCCAGGCTTATTGTGGTGTGGCTAATTGTTTTCATGGTTAATTTGAACTGGACTGATTTTACAGGTGACTGTAGTGATAAATTACCATTTTAACATATATCATTTAATCATTATATCACATTTTATAAAATAGTTCTTATCCAAAGGGCTGTTCCTACCAATGACGACATTGGCCAAGCATGAACACCTGGAATTCACATTTATGCAGATTACTAAGAAATCACAATAACTTTTGGTGTGTCGCTCCACCAATCCCAATCCTAAAGTGAACCATTAACAAAATACCTAATCTCTGTCTTTTTTTCTGTTTATGTCATAGATATAATTTTTGTTTATAGATCGGAAGCTGTTCGTTGGCATGCTCAGCAAACAGCAGACAGAGGAGGATGTGCGCCAGTTGTTCACGCCGTTTGGTACTATAGAAGAGTGTTCTATACTACGAGGACCAGACGGCGCGAGTAAAGGTAAGACAGCATATTACTTCTTCTTCTTTTAAATGTCATGACTCCTTCGAATTAATTGATGATTTTGCCAATATCAAGTAAAAATGACTGTGTAGGTACGGTAGTTTTGTAAAAATAATATAAAAATTATGGCGGACGACGCCATTAGCAAGGCCGGTACCCATTAACTTAACATTTAAAGAAGTTGTCACCGATGTAATTACAGTCATCACACTTACAAATAAAATATCCGTAATAATGCACTTATGCTTTTACAATTAACATGTATGCTGATGATCCACTTGCTCTAAACTTAAGTATGTCTTAAACCAATGCTTGCAATGCAAAAGATATAAAAGAAATAAATAAAAAAAAAAATACTTTTATTATCAGATTAAGGCACATTTTATGTGATAAACTCTGATAACCATACTAGGTCATGCTTGTGTCGTGTTTATCACGCAAGACATTTATGACAGTGGACGAGTATTACAGCATCTCTTCTATATAACGTCGTAAGAGAAAATAAAATTTATATGAATAAAAAACAAATTATGTGAGATATGTGTGAGTGTACTTGTTTGTGTCTTCGTACGTGTGTGTATGTGTGAGTTTTCAAATTTTCATTGCTAGTTAAGTGTCTCTATCGCTTTTTAAGTATTAGTATTGTTTCGGACTCCTTATACTTACGTCAAACGTTAAACAATTCTCGCTATACTTTTGGCTTCGTACACCGACAGCTCCCTCATGTCGGGTACATGGAAAAATTTGTTACCTATAAATAAAGCGAAACGTAAAAGCAGAAAATCGAGAGACAAATACAGTTTTTACGGACTGAAGTGGTATTTTAAAAACTCGTTTTTTTAACAATAACTGATAGCATATACTTAATACATTATGTTAAATTAAATGGCTTTGGTTGATACACCATAACAGTGAAAGTGTTGAATCAACCGCTTTGGAAAAATGTGAAGTAAAATTGAAGATATACCTACACTAATTAGTACAGTGTGAAAACACGATTCCTATAATGTTTCGCGATAGAAAAAAACATAAATTACTTCGAAATTTTACTATAAATCTGCTGTATTCAATAAGTACTTAAACCAATGGTTTTAATTTCGTTTGCAAAAAAAGTCTCCTAATTCCAGCTCAGTTAATATCGACTGTTAAGAGAGTCTTATCAATATATGCATTGGTTTAAGACGTAATTAAATTTAGTGCAATTGGATACAACAGTCCCAACATATGGCTGATTTTCTTTAATAACATACTGATATCTAGTAGCAGTAGAGCTCCCTGAGAAATAGTTCGTCCAGTAGTACTTGTTACTTTATGTACTTCTGCCGGCAAGCAGTAATATTCGTTAGTAGCATCTTCGTTTAGTAGCATTCGTTATTTCGGGTTTTGAATAAAATAAATAAATAAAGGGTTAAAGCGTTTGCACTCTACGTCCGATTCGTATAAGTCCCGAATCCGAGAAATAATGGTTTTGAAATGTCACAGAGATCATTTTATCTCTAGGTGTACAAGCGATATTCGAATTTTCTTGGATTTGAATCGTTAGTAGCAGTAGAGTTAGTTTTGACAGAGTTCGTACAGGGAAGTACTGCCACCTTACCTACTTCTGCCGCCAAGCAGTAATGGGAGCATTACTGCGTTCCGGTTTGTAGGGTAAGAGTGCTGGTGAAATTACAGGCACGTGGGACTTGTCAACTTATGTCTCAGGTGACAGGCGCAGTGGCAGTGCCCCTCACATCTATGCGATTTAAAGCTCTGAGTGGCACTGCAACTGCTGTGGACAGACATGTAACTTACCATCAAGCGCACAAATTGTCCGTCCCGTCACTTGATATTAAAAAAAAAAACTTAGTGCACAAGCGACACTCGAAGTGGGTCAGAGTTTTCTTGAACGAACACGAAGCACGTTATGGGTAGGCGTGTAGTCACTAGGCCAAAAAATACATAACGTCTTGATGTTGTCTACAGGTCTAAAATAAAAATAATCATTCGTATTCTAACTTAAATATATCCTAACCAAACCTATTTTATACAATAGGCCCCCCTAAGAAACTATGTTCATTTTTTCATTTTATAAGTTACCAAAAATTCCGCTAGATGGCGCTGACCCGTTTTATCTAAATTCTGCATCGCGGTCATAAGATTTTCCCACAAATCGGGACTACCTCGACCGAATTTTGATTATGTGAGATACGCATCAGTACTATTGATAGCTATCTAAGAGTCGAGTCCTGGTGGAATCGACTGCTCGGACTAGAGGTTTTTACATAACTTTTTTTGTGTTGTTGCGCGTGGTCCATCCGTTACACTGTACTAGGTATTTTCGGAGTTATTCAATATTAACGTGAAGCAATAATCAACTTTTTTATGCCACCTAGTGACGGAAAGACAAGTCGTGCGCCTGGTGGTAGGCTTCACGCCCGACCTTAGCAGTTGCAATACCACTCAGGGGTTTCAATCGCAAAGATCTGCCACTGTGACTGTCACCCTCAGACATCAGTTGTCAACACTCATGCGCCTGTAATTTCACCAAAACCCTTCAAAATCGGAACGCAGTAATGGTTACAATGCTGCTTGACAGCAAAAATGGGCAGCATTAGTTCCCTGGAAGAACTTTTTCACAAAGAGCTCTGCTGCTGCTTAGAATTGAAGTTGAACTGAATTTGGTGACGTGATCTTAACTTCAAAAGTACCCTTAAAAATCTGGCGACCAACGGTGGGCACTCATGACCAAGATACTTTACCAAATGCTGCCGAGGTACTACAATATCTCCTTTAAGGTAGGTTGGGTTAGTTTAGAAAGCAAAGTTAAGTAAACAAGGAGACAACTCCTGTAACAAATTGGTAAGACCTAATTTTTGTATTCGATATAAACGACGCCATTATCGATCTTTATTTATATACATACCATCACGCCTATCTCCCATAGTGATAGTCAGAAACCATGAATATTTATCAGCTGTATTATGACATACGTCTTTCGGTTCCTTCAATCAAATGCCTTTTCATACCGTTGCACGACCCGGTCTTTATAAGGACAACCTCAGTCTTGTTGACATATAATTTAAGATAAACTAACCTAAAGCTTAATCCTACAACTTGGGTATTTAATACCGAAATTGATTTTATATAATAGTTCATTATCATCAAAACTTAATAGCTACTTAAGAATAAAACAGCCTATTGTACTGGGTCAAGAAAGCGTTAACATTGACAGTTTACAGTTTCAGCACCACAAAACTAACGGTTTTTCTGAACCAACAGATCTATTAGACGACTTTGTTAAGATTTAAATTAAGTTTCACTTCTACGATCCAAACTTCAAGCTCAACGTACACTAGTTATTGTATTTATTTATTCATTAATTCATTGAAGAAGTTATTAACAAATAGGTTTCTAGGGTAATAAATAAAAAAAAATATTCGTTAGTTCGCGCTTATTTGGTTTGTGAACATTCGCGTGAATTTTTTTTCAATTAACAGCAATAGAGGCGGAAATAACTAAACGAGGGGACGTTATATGATATTAACCACCCTTTCAACGCTGACAAATAACAAAAGAAACTGCTGAAAATAATACCCCGCAGCAATTCCAGTAAATTCCATTCACGTACTGAAAAAGAGTATTTCACACAAAAATGCAATAACCATAAAACGGCTTAAGTGTACTTACGGCATTTTTCAGTGACGCACATAAATGAGTTGCGACGCCCGCGTAAAACATAAAAGTTAACCGTCAAACTCCGTTACAATCCGTGCGTACTAAATAGAAACACGTGTCCGTACCGTGTCATATTCCGCGGCAGTCCGTATAACCCAACTTTAAATCCATTTTACGCTGAAATTGTCAGATTTTAATTGAGTTCTGCCCGTAAATTCGGTCTAGCGCGCGGTTGTTAGTTACCTAAGCGAGTCTTTACGTAGACATTAAGCTTTTTACGCTTGCATTCGCAGTCATTATTGGACAATAAAGTTATTAACTACCCTGTACAGATGTACCTAAGGGGGACGCAAATTGTTCATTCGGCTTAATTACAAACGCCGATGTGGCGCGTTATAAAGATTTTTACGACAATCTCTGCGAACATAATCGTTACAGTTTTCATTATAAATTAAGGGATTTTAACCAACTGAACAGGTTTACGACAGTCCTGATGTCGGCGAAAATTAGTTGAGATTTTCTTTTTTTATTTTGCTGGTTCCCGCTGCGCCTGTCGTGTCAGACGAAACGAGACTGCTAGAGAATTCGTGGAGATTTTCAAGCAAAAGACACTCTCGCTTCTGGCTGATTTTAATTAAATGCAGCGCGTTGAGCAAAACAAATAGAGTCCTAAAAATGTACAGTTTGTTTAGGACGAAATTCACATTTGCTTTTTAGAAAATAAATGTAGAACATTGACGCCATCTTGCGTATTTCTCACCTCTTAGGTACTCAAATTCACAGAGCTGTATAGGTGTCAATCAGATCAAAATGGCACGTGTCATTCCGACATCGTTCGACGGACCATAATAAGGGCGCAGGTCACGAGAATATCCATCGTAAAAGTGACGCATACCAGCTCTTTTTATGACTAAGTGGCTTGAAAAAAATCCAGGTTCATAAGCGTAAGCGAGAGCGATTAACGGTGATATTTTATACTTAGTCGTAAAATTATAATGACTGTAAACGAATTAGGGTTTGTAAGGTCATGAAAAATTGTGTCTACGTTGATACACCTACTAGATTTAGATTACTTTGAGTGTGAACCAGAAACTTCATACGTCTTCTATGCACTTTGAAACTTCTTAGTAGGTTTCTTTGTGCTGATTTCTTGTACGGTTATTAAAACCAGTGATAAATTGATTTTGAGCGTTGGAAAACATGAAAAAAATACACTGTTATAAAAATAATTTTGTTTTTATTATACTAAATTGCGGGACGATCAATTTAGACAACTAGTGGTAAAACCGTAAAGCAATATTTGGAGCATTACTGCTTGGTAATAGAAATAGATACACATA